AATAGCAGTTTACATTTCTTAGTTTAGTTTCCAAGAGAAGCCAGGTTTACAGGATCAGTATACCTATCCATCTGTCTTTCAATCCCTCCCCATTGGCCCCCAGACCTTCTAGCAGACTGGAAAGAAAGGCCGAAGTTTCAAAGGTATTACGTTTTTATGAACCCTGCAACACTGGGCAAGGGAGGGAAGGAGCAGGATCTTGTTAAAGCCCTCCTGAGGGAAGGAGAAGCAGGACTGGGCTGTCAGCTGTGCCTTGTGTTGGTAGCTGCCTGTGCATGCTGTCAGCTCTGTCTGTCTGTCTGTCCGTGGTGTTCCTGCCTGGACAGCTGAGGCACCAGCATCACTTCTGCTGTCTGTAGTGCAGCTTTAGCCTGCCTGCAATTCTTGAATGTTGCACACATAACCTGGAAAACAAGAAGCCTGAGAGCCCCTGGTTTCAGAATGCCAGCTGTGGAATATGCCCTGGATAGAAACACTTTAAAAACACGGATCTCTGAATGCTTTTCGTTTAACTCAGCTTTGCATTTTCCCACATCTGCCACCTCTTCATCTGGTAACTTGCGGCTCAGAACCTCTGTATTGACATCTCAACATCTGTGTTGTACTTCCCATCACAAAACCTCTTCTGAGCTGTGCAGAGCTGCTGCTTATTTTTCTGGTGATGAACAATGAGATTAAGTGACCTGCTACTGCTACCTCTGCCATGCCCCAGGCTCCCACACAGTGACATGTCAGACACACTGGTAAAGTCAGCTGTGGATAAACAAGGCATTTACTTACCATGTATATACGAACAGCAGAAAAACTGAATGCATACAATCTTTTGAATTATATTGTAGATTCTTGCGAATAAAAGCTACCTTTTGTTTTGATTCTGCAACACGCTGAACGGTGGGAACTTGATCTCAGTTGGGGTCCATATGCTTAGTATTCCACCACCCTATTAACAATTAATAAATGAATAGCAAATGATTGTACCTGTTCTCAAGGGGTTACTACAATGTCTGTTATTTTTGGATTCAATTCATGAATAACAGATTAGGAGCACAGCTTTTCTTCTTGCAGCCTTTTTTTTTAAAAAAAAAAGAAAAAAGAAAAAAAAAAAAGACACTGATAAAGTTAGTGAAATCTTATTGGTGTCACATTCCTCTGATATCTCTTTACCCGAAAAGAGAAAAAGACTGAAAAGAGAAAATAGCATCTCCACCATTTCATCTCTTCTAATTGAGTTGTATTTATGGAGAAAAATTTTGTGAGGTATTTCTATTTATCTGAAAGAAAATATCATCCAAACACTTTCTCTAACAGCTAACTGGATCATTTATGCAACCTTTTTACTTTTAATAAAATACCTGTGTTTCTATAAAAAAATATTTTATGAAGTGATTAAGCCCCTACATAAAAGTTGTATTTGCGTTTCATTGCTTGGGCACTGATTGGTCATCTCCACGCAGCGTTTATTCCTCTCTGTGTTAGCAGGCTCTCGGGTTTCACAATTACAAGGACACAGCACTGCTACAAAAGCCCATGCTTGGAACAGAGGGACAGAAGGAGATCCACAGAGTTTCCCTGTTGCACAGCTCAGAAAAAGGATGTTCCTTCCTTTGTGCATCCTTGGCAAGAAATACCTGAGAGCAAAGAAGTATCACCATTTCCAGGAGGGGCAGTCAGCCCTTGATAGCTTGCAAAGGCTTAGAAGATGTTTGGGAAGATCTATCAGCCTATGAGACCTGGCTTCACCCTGAGCAAATGGTGCCTGACTAACTAGTTTCCTGAGTAAATGGTTTTCTAGACAATGGCAAGGTGAGCTGGATTTATGCAATAAAAGGCAAGGTGAACTGAATTTTTACAGTAGTGCTGTGTGGAGAAGGATCTGTTTAATTGAGAAAGGTGGCAGTGAGGATAACAGTGAAAGGACAGCAGTGAACGAGCAAAAGTTAACAGCCAGGTCTCGGCTCCAGCATGGCCCTGGAGAGCCAGGGGACTTGCCTGGCTTCTTGGGAGTATACCTCCTTCTCTGCCCCCTCTCCTCTTGTTTAATACCAAGCACAATATTTATCAGCTAGCAATGCAAGAGAGTCAATGAACTGGTCCCAAGGGATTAATATAGCTACAGACTCACTAAAATGCCTAATTACCATGCTGAGGTATGTGAGACTGCAATAACTCATTCAGTTATAGCTCGCTTTTCATACTTCAGGATGAAAATCCCCCCTGTGGATATAAGTTATTAGTTGTTCATATTAATACGCACCCCAGGGCATCTGGGAGGCTGGGTCCTAAGGATGAAGAAACTCATTGACTCACCAGATTCTGCCACTGTCTGTGGACATGCTAAAGATTGTAGTCAGAGGCAAATCTCTGTAAAAACCAAGTATTGATTTTCAGATGTGTCTTTTAAATAGTTAATAGCCTCCCTTCAAAGCTGTTGCTTTTTTTTTTTTTTTTTTTTTTTTTTACTGTCCGGTTAAAATATTTTGTGCTATCCCATGTCTGTTTCATCTGCAACGTGTGTGCCCACATGCATTTTCTAAGGGCAGGGTCTGCAGCTCACCTTGCAGCCCCATCACCACATGCCCTGGGCAGCCTGCACAGAGGGGTAGCCCTGGCACAAAGGATGCTAAAACCAAAATCTGCCCACAGTGTGTCTGTTTCCAGGCTCATGACCCCAGATCCAGACACCAGCTGCACTTCTGCAGCTGAACTTCCACCAGGCTCCCAGCCCCTAGTTTGGCAACTGCTGCTGCAGTTCATCGAAAGTTTGTCAAAACCCATCCAATTCCACAAACCCCACGGTTCCAACAAATCAGCATTTTTCTACAGAAACCTGTTCTCCTGGAAACGTCCCAACCCAGTCCTACAGAGAGCCATTATTTCTGAAGCACTTTTGTAAACATTTATTGCAGGGTTTTTCTTAATGACAATAGCCACAGACTCTGGCAGAGCTTAGTTTGGCAGTTTGAAAGTCTCACTCTTTCTTGTGCTTTGGCCAGAGAGGGAAAAGGAAAAAAAAAATGCGTGTCTTTCAACACCACCGTTGTGGTTTGGCTGCAGGATGTGCTGCAAACACAGTTTCCTGGAGAGGTCCATGCCTGACACAGCAAGATCGTGGCACTCAGGGCATTGCTCCTAGATAGTGGCAAAGATACTCAACATTAGTGTATCATCATCCTCTTACAACTCTTCACCATAAAGGACAGTTTAGCAGTGCCCAGGGAATTTCAAGGAGTTGGGAAGAAACTCAGCTTGAGGTGCCTCCATGGGTTTCCTTTGGTCTTTGCTACAGAAAGGATGTCCGCCTTCCTTTGCCCTTTCCTTGCGGATACTTTCCATGCTGAAACTTTGTTTTTGCTTTGTGCTATCTTTATGTTCAAAACTCTCCCTCAGCTCCCTCAGGTTTGGATGACCCCGCTCTGTGCTCCTGAGCTCACCTCAGTACCTAGGACACCGCTGGGGTCTGCCTGCCCTCTATACTTGATCCCTGCTGAAGATCACCCCACATCTGCACGCTGCTCATCCATCTGGCTGTACGCTCCCAGATTCCACCTCTGAGCATCTTGAAAGCCATTTATTCAGTCCCTTTGGGCTGCTGGAGGCTTTCCCCTACAAATGAAGGGCTGATGGTGCATTTGATTTCTTCCTACTGCCAGATCACACTCTGAGCAGCAGACCATTGTTGCAGAAGAAAAGTATGCAGGAGTTTTACAACCTTGCTGCTCTTTGAGCGTAATGGTTTAGTGAGTGTAATATATAACTGAGAGGAAAAGCAGCCAGAACACTTCCAGAGCCTTTTACAGATGAGCTAGTTACAGCTTGTCCTTGTACTGCTGCGTAGGGGTCAGGCAAGATGGAAAAAAGCCTCATCTCTGCAGGGGTCCCTGTGCAAGTGCTGAATTTGCTGCTGATCCACGCCAGCCTGAGTGGTGACATTGCTCTGCAGAGCGAGACAAAGTGCTACAACCCAGACATGTACTTAAAGCTCACTTCGGGCCTCCTTAATAAGTGCAGTCACATTTAATGTAGACACCGAAGTGAAACTAAGCAACATGTTTGTGTGGTTAGGGCAGCAAATGGAGAAAGTAACAATGATTTGCATCAGGTGCCTCTAACCTGTCCATTTTTTCTGTTTCTTGCAGTATCTGTAACACTGTTTGAATTACAGCCCAGAACACACTTTCCTCTAAACCTACTTCAGAGGTAGTAGAAACCACACAGAGCAAAACTGCATAACCCTCTTTCTTCCTTAAATCATTTCATATTTCACAGGTCCTAGAGAATGCTTTGCAGTTCAAGAGAACGGTCGCTCTGGGACACCACACATCCCATTTTAAATAATAGCCCAAGTGTTGCCTGGAGGAATATTAGTAACATTTGCCAATTTTAAAAGGCTTGTAAAAGAATTTCCCATTATAGGATTTCACAAAGCAGCTATTTCAGTATCATTTATGCCTTGTTATGTTTCAACATCTCTCTAAGTTTATATGTAATTTCTAAAATAGGAAAACACTTGCTCTAGTAGAGGCTTTCCAATATTCTATCTAGAAAAGATTTTACTCCAAGTGAGAATACCATGGTGGTTCTGGTACCTACGTTTGGATTGAGCTCTCTGGTCCTACAGAATCATTAGCATCCTCCATAGGGTGCCATGACAGCTGCCTGCACTGTTCTCCTTCCCTGTTCTGCAGGCTTTTTGCAGGCTGCCCCAGCAGCCCACCTGGCTGCCTGAGCACTGTACCGGGGGTGGGGGGAGCTGCACAGATGGGGAGCAAAAAGGAATGGCCCAAGGTGTATTTGCTGATGCACAACTGGGTCTGCAGCAGGTGTGAACATCAGGGCTCAGCATATGGCAGCAGTGGGTGTGAGACAGCAGAAATCCTGATGACAATGCTGATGTCCTCCCTGCAGAGGCTGGCACAATGCTTTGGGTCACTAACTCTTAACACCTGTGTGAAACATGTTTTTAAATACTTCTGGAGAAGGCTTCACCTGTTGCTTTCTGCTACCACTTGCTAGGGCAAGAGGGTGCTGCAGGCCTGAGTCCTCCTTGGCCTGAAAAGGAATTTGAATTTAGGGGTCTCAACTTCTGCTCTGTGCACCTCCTAGTTACATAAATGGGGGGAGAAGGATGTAACCTGAATTGAATGTAACCTGACTGAATGTCAGTAACCTGAATTTTTGGAGTGTGTACTTCTTCGTGAGAAGCCTTCTTCAAGCATGCCTTGTCTTTTCTGGGATTCAAGAGACTGGTGTCCAGTTTGACTGCCCTCCTTGGTATGAGGTAAGTGTCCAATGGATCAGACTCTGGGAATTTAGGCTTTGTTGAGAAGTAGAAATATTGGCATTGAGGGAATATAAAGCTAAGGAGTGAAACTTTCATGTGGTTCATATGGTTGCTGAAATGAGAGTGGTTTTCTGGTCAGCAAAACTGGACCTATGCAACTTGGATTATGCTTTGACCTTGAAGGGCTTGGTGGCACTCCTAGGAAAGGCTCCCTCACTGGGCTTATGGGAGGTCACAGTTTGGAGGACATTATGCTGTGCTGCTGGGTGAGAGCTCCTGACCCTTCATCTTACTTTCTGGGACTTGTGTGGGGTACATGAGAGCTCTGGCTCCCTCCAGACAAACAGTACAAAGGGTCAAGGACATCCATCCCGCCTTTACTGTATGGGAGCCAGCCCAATGCAACATGCCCATGCCTCAGCTCTTCTAGTTCCCAGCCACAGCATAACCCCACCTCCCTGGAGATGCAAGCTAAGGCACCAGCCAAACTGCCTGGGCTACTGTGGTACAAGCACGCTCTGTGCTGATGTCTGGGGCTTGTAAACTTCAGTGCAGTGGCAGGGCACAAAGCCGCTGATAGTAACATCTTAAACCACTTCAGGGAGCCTTCCCAGAGCTCGTTTGTCAGAGCCTGAGGTCTTCAGCTGAAGAAGAGCAGAAGGCATCGGCGCTGCATGAGAACACTGGAGATATTTTAAAGTGTAACCACAAAGTGCAAGACAGGAACCACAGCTGCTTTTATATACACAAACCTCGGGGGAATCTTCCTGATTTCCCTAAAGTCCCAGGCATTTGAACCCTGAGAGACAGTTGTGCATGTATGGGTTGTCCCCTCTTGAGTGCTTTCACCCTGAAATAGGCATAAGGCACTGCTAGATCCAGCAGTCCTCAAAATGCTGGGAGAAAAAAAAAGGCGAAGATGAACATAAGGGATGTGGAGGACAAGGAGAGGAGTGACTTTCATTGAAAGTGCTGGGGAATGTCACTTCACAATGAACAAGTACATAACTTAAAAGCAAATTGAGAGCATGGCAGCAGTCAGTGCTACAGCCAGCTGGAATGGCAGGCAGGATAGGTGGCAGCAGGGAGTTTGGTGGGCTGGGTTATAGCATGTGCACGATCCTGGCAGCAGCTGTGCCTTGGTTCCCTGCACCATGAGACGGAGAAAAACATTTCCTTATCTCACAGTACTATTGTAAGTTTTAATTCATATCCATAAATCACTGTGAGAGCTCATGTAGTAATATCAATTTACTGTGGAGCTGAAAATGATACAATCATTTTCTTGATAAGGCAGAAGATAAATGTTTTTCCAAGTGAGAACCCCAATTAAGCACCATTCTGAAGAGAACATAGCCTAAGCAGCCTAATATTGAAACAGGGTGTTAGCTAACCACAAAAGAGCTTTCCATGTCCAGAGCTGGATCTCCAACTTGTGAACTTAGAGCCTACAGGCATAATGGCTTTCTATCAAATCTGCCATGTGTTAGAATAAAATACCAGTGACTGTAATCCTAGGGAAGAATCCAAAGACTGCAATAGACCTAAAGGAGAAGGAAGTGGGCAGCAGAGCTTTCTGCATTTCGGAAATGTTTACTTGACAAATATTTAGCGAGCTTGGAGGTATTTTTGAGAAAAAAAAATGTCATGGGTTCATGTTGATGAATGTTTTGCTACTGATTAAATCTGAGCCTGTATAAACTGTGTGGTGACAAAGAAACCTGAGACTGTAATGAGGAAACAGTTGGGTAGGATGTGAGAGATTGAAACCACAGATATTGCCATCCCCAGGAGAAATGCTTTATTCTAAGGACTGGAAATTAGTTTGGGACTATTGGATTCCATTCAAGGAATAAGTCCTATTATGTACAATATCTCCTAATCTTTATCCCAGAAATTGCCTTGAAAAGCCAAATCTTGTATCGCAGTAATTAAAGGAAAACATATGTGAAACAAGATGCCTATTTCTTGTCTGGACTCTCATTAGCCAGTCCACCATAAAACACTACTGTGGCTCCAATCAGTATAGATCAACATCCCTCTACACGTCCCCAGATAGAGAGTGGCTTTGAGCATTTTATAGACACAGGATTTCCAAGGCACTCAAGTTTGGTTGTCCAATCTGGCCTCATTCTTCAATATTCATTTACTTGTGCAGCAGTCCCATTAATTTCACTGGGACAATGAATTCAAGCAAGTCCTCAAATTGTTGTTGAACCATCACGCTTGGCATTTACCTTTTAATATAGAGTTGTGGATTTTTTTGTTGTTTTGTGTGTGTGTTTTTTAATGTATAGTTATTTTTTTAACATGGAGCCAAAAGTTTTGATAAATGCTAATCTAAACATAAATACCCTAGCTCTGAATTGGACCCTTAATAAAGCAACACTCGATGTGCAATATTTTTAGACCTCAGGCTGCTAATATAATAGGTTCACCTGGTCATCAAAGCTGGTTAAGTTTTGTAAAGTTAGGCCTAATTTTATTCAAAAAGAACAAATAACTTTCTGCAATATGTTTGTCTTTATGGGGTAAAAGTCTGCCATACCTTAGGTAATTTCTGTTTGCCATTAATAAACATTTTATTGCAACACACTTAAGCCATGTTGTATATCTGTGCTCAGCAATATCGATACTCAAAGGTCAGAGCTGAGTGAAATGGCCTAGATCCCATGAAAATACAAATAAGATCTGCGGTAAACCAATGTCTGAGTTTCACATGTGCACAGATACACTTGGTCATTGGAGTTTTTTGAATATTTCCTTCCAGAGACTTTCCTTGTAGCTCTGGTGGATGTTGCAAAATTCTGTTCTTTGTAAGTAAAAGTTAACTATGCTAGTGCCATACCTGTTCTGGTTGTGAGAGGTAGGGCTGTGATGGGTGCAGGGGCAGCAGATGGGGTTTGGCCAGGGCACATCCCCACTGGGCCTTGAGGAGCACCAGGCAACCTCTCCACCTCCACGGGACTGCGGTGAGGGGTCAGTCACTGGCAAAACTCCCATTACCCATTTTGCCGGAGTTGGAAAACCCATAAGGAGAAGAAATCAATGGTTAGAGCCATTTCTAATGATGCCTTGACCTTTTCCTGTTAGGATTTCAAGCCACAGGAAAAGAGTGAATGATGCAGGTTAAAATAGAAGCATAGCTGGGAAAGTTGTGTTCAGTGGGTAGCTTTTCAGACTCTGACCCTTCCTGCTCATGTTCAGATATTTCTCTCCTCATCACATCTGATATTATGAGCCTGCAATCGGAGATTACATTATAGAGTGGGAACATTGAGCATGTCTCTACATTAACTACAGCATTGTTTTCATAGTTAGTTTTCCCAAAATGCTGTAAAACCTCCAAGTTTGTACTGAGTAAACTACAAGGTTTGTCTGGGTAATTGTTATGCCTTATGGAGAATGTGAATTTGATCCAAATCTGGTGGGTTTATTTGTTTTCGTTTGTTTTATTTTTTATTTTTTTTGGCAAACATGGGTGAGATATGCACCTAACTCCTTCAAACTATGATGTGAAATCAACATGTTTTATTTCATATTCTTTTGAATTCATCTTAGTTCATTATCTGGAAAAGCTGTGATTCCATATCCAGGGTAAAGTCTGAAATTTAAAAATAGACAAGTTCCTGAAAGGGAATGAGAAGAGTTCAGCAGAACCAGACTCTCTCTGTAAGGCAGGACATTTGCAGGCAGTTGGTGTTAGGAGGAATGGGTTGCATGCAGGTGCTGTGCCATGACTGCTGACCCTGAATCACCCCTTGGTCCCTTGTTAACCATGTGTGCTGCCTGTACTTAGTGCTCTCCCACTGCTCTCCTTTGAGTCCTTGGAGCAGTTTGGTCCAGGAGCAAAGCTTTAATTGCTAGCATTTAAGTGCTCTAAAATCCACCTGTGCATTTTAGAAACCTTTTCAGGGGGAGGGGGGGGGGGGAGGAATTAAATGGTTTTAACACCTTTAAAACCATTATAGGACTGAGAGGATAGACTGAGAGACTGGTAAATATTGCTCTGGGTTAATGGACTCAGGCCCAGAACTGTAACAACTGCTTTTTGATTTATAGATGAAAACAAAGTATTTTTAGAATAGTATAAGAAATAAAGTGGTTCTTTGTTTGTTTGTTTCATGGCGTGCCATTTGAAATGTTCCCTGAACTAAAGTTTCATTCCAAAGCTTTATTTCTCCCTGTTTTCAAATAAATTTAGATGAAAGTGGAAACAAACTATAGAGATCATGAAGAAACAGTAGTTCTGTCTGGAAAAAAAAAAAATGAAACAGCTGGACTTTATCAAAGTATTCTTCTCTCCTCTGTCTTTTTTTTTTTTTTTTGGCAGATATTTTTATTCTATGACCATGACAATATTGGTGCAGATTTAACCAGAGGCACCAACCTTCTTCACAATGCTCTTGTTCCACTGTAGCTCCAATGACATTCTTAGCTCTGCTTCCTGGGGTCATTTGGCCAGGAGGCTCCTCTGCCCCCTCTTTTAGCCAGGAGCAGATTTTAATACTCAGACTTCTCTCAAGGCATGTAGCTGGGGAAATTGTCTTCAAATTTGGTAGGGCCTGGGGCAAAACTGGGAATGGAAACTAGGGATAATGTGATTAAGGGTCTGCAGAGACAGAGCAATCCCTCAAACTGGGGCTTCATGTTCAAACTACATAAAATCTGGCTCAAGTAGATTGCTTCTAAGGTAATTATGCTGGGAAGCAAGCTAGAATAAGGCTTGCAAGAACAATCTGCAGCCACTATGTGAACAGCTTCTCTTCCTGACCAGCCCAGAGACAGATAACTCGTGTGGCTACTTATCTTCACTGAGTACCTAGACAAGACTAAGCATCTTTGCCCTTTCCCTGCTCTGAAAGATATCCAGGGAAAGGACCCTAGCAGAAAACCTCCAGCAGTCATTGATCGCACAGCCAGAGTCCAGCAGAGACTGAAGAATTAGGGTTAGGATGATAAGAGAGCTATGCTTTACTCAACTGCTGCCTCAGCTACATGCAGCCAATATTCTGCCTCCTCCCAGCATCCTCCTTTCAGCCTTCAACCCTGTTGATTTTGCTTAAAAATAAATAAATAAAAATTGAAAAGTTTGATCTGTGCTAAGGTTTTTCCATCTCTCTGGTCAGGAAAGGTGCTGATCAAATATACTTCATCTGTAGCAGGTGCAAGAGATTTAGCTGACAGGAGATGTGGAAACTATAGCCATCCAGCTACATATGTGGCTGCATGAAAAACTACAAGCCTTGTGCAGCCAAAATCTGCCAAGAGCAATCCAGACCTGTGCTGGGTGCTGCCTGGAGGGTGCTGAGCTCCCTGCTCTCCCACAGGTGATTTTCAGCTTCCAGTACCTCCCAAGAAGAGGCACAGAAAGGGTGCTGCAGCTCTGAAACCCAACTCATTCTGCTTGTGCCCCCCTCTATTTAGTTAGGAAAGTGGTAAACATTGTGGAGATTAACCTTGTAACCTCAGCTAATTCACGTTAAGTTAGTAAAATGGAGCAGAATCTAGGAACAATCAGCATTTGTGGCTTTCTGGGCCTTTTAAGCTTATTTCTTTGCAATGCAAACCTCCCTCTCCAATGATTTGTTCGGCTTTAAGTCCCCTGAATTCCAAGCTTTTATGTTATTACAAGCTTCCCTTTACTGACTGTGTCTGTGCCAGCAGGTGCATGAACTGGGAGGCCCATGGCAACGTGCATTTTATTACTTCCAAACAGAATTATTTTTTTTTCTGGTTCTTAGCAATTCTGGAGCTATTACTTGATATGTGGCTATTAAGGTTACAAGAGGAGAGGTACATCAGTTCTTAGCCTGTAACTACTACTATCAAAAAGGCTACTGCATAATGGGTATTTGAAATGTGCGTGCCAGCTGGGAAAGCTGCACATGTGGACAAATACCAGCTAAGGAATAAAGCAACACAATTTCTGCTAAGAACAAGCAAGGTACCTTAACCAAGACATGCGTTTGCAGCAGAAACACCCAGCCTAACGTCAGTGCAGGAGATGGGGGCTGTCACTTGGCAAGGAGCGTGTTTCTCTCCATCAGCTGCGAGGCTGGTGATGTGGTTGTGCTCTGAGAAGCTGCCTGCCGCTTCTGCCTGGTTTTGGTTATATGCTATGATTTATCCCTGGCAGGAAATGTACATGAGGTGATGGCTGTAATCAGTCAAACAGGGCCTCTGAGAGAGGGAAGGCAAGCTCTGGTAGCTTCATGAAAAAAAGATGACTCAGTTGGGATGCCATTCAACTGCGTGTACACAGCCCTGCTCAGAACTATTTCTGGTTTTATTTAAGTGTTCCAAGAGCAGTGGAAGTCCATTTACAGGAAATCACATATCAGACAATGGGGACCTACCTCAGCAGGAAAAAGCACAGGCTTTTATTTACAAGGAACTAATTCTTCCAAGCGAGGGTGAGTGCCAGAGGCAGTGACAGACCCCCTTTCCCTTCCCAAATGGCTGCTAAAAGGGACAGACGTTGCACCCTGTCAAAATGTTTACATATGGCCTCCCCGACAGCCAAACCTGCTGTTGCTGAGAGCCAGAAGTGAGCAATAAATAACGCCACTGACTTTCACCTTGCTGTAAAAGCTTTCATCTTAGCAGGCAGGAAACCTTTTCTAACACACTTCACACCTTGGGAAAAAAAAATCCTTTTGCATTAGGATGTGGGAACTGAAGTGGCCTTCAAGAGAGGTGTTGATGCACAAGGGGACCTAGTCCAAAGACCATTAATTTGCATCCTCACTCTGTCAAAGGATGAGCCTTCAGGAGCAAAGATGCTTTCATACCATGCTCAGCCTTCACTTCTCCTTTCTGGGAAGAGAAGGCTTTCAGGAGGAAGACTGAGATTTAAGGGACCATGGTGGGAAAAATAGATTTCAATTTTCATGTCTTAGTCCTTGCAAGCTGCTAAAATTTGACTATTGTAGATATAGACTTGCTGACACTCCCATGGCTTTTGTAGCCTGTCAGTGCTCTTAGCAGGCTGAGATGTTAGGGTTATTTGCTGCAGGCTCTTGTCTTCTGCCAGCTCTTCAAATAAAAGCGTTCCCACACCCACTTGTTCTTCTTAGTACCTCTGCAAGGCTCTCCTGCCTGCAGGCTTTTATAGCCTGTGGTCTGTTTATGGGTTTAGCTTTATAGCTGGCCTAATTAGCTGTGGTGATAAGGATAATTAGGTAATTAGGATAATTTGGATAGCACAGTATGAGGCTTTTCAAACCTTTTTTTTCTGGAGAGCTTTGTCTGCCACAGCATAGTCAGTTACACTTATCTAATCTCATGGAAAACAAAAAGCCCATATATCTCTGAGTGATTGATGGGGGAGAGTTAACATCCAAGCTGAAGTATGAGCTGAGAGTAAGTAACCTTGAAATGCAATCTGTGAGGGCAGAGCTGTAGCACTGAACTCGCACAGCCACAGCTGATGCACAAGCAACATGATAGCTTCCTCTTATCCTTCAGGTTACCACATCAGGACTTGGATTCTCTTTCTTATCTGCTAGCTTTTGACAGACAGTGATGAACCACCAGGAAAGGGAAAAAAAAAAAAAAGGAGCCCCCCAAAAAAGAAATTCTCTATCCCTTGATATCTTCAAATACAAACTGGATGCTTTCCTGAAAGATACACTCCAGCCAAATATAACTTGTAAGCCACACCAGGAATGACGAGAAACTCTATCATTCCTTGGAGAGGCTGAGACTATAAGGTCTCAAGCCTCTCTTTTCTGAAAGTCTGTGAATCAATGAACTTTCTCTTTTTTTTTTCCTGCCATTTCCTTTTCTCTGTATTTTCTAACGTAGATGTTGTGAGAAGTAGGAGCAGCAGTGGGGTCATAATTGCAAAGAGAGGAACTTAGGTACAAAAACTTGGAAACCTTTCTCTCCTCATAATTGGAATTGTTGTCCATCATGCAGGAAGTAAATACCTCATTTTTTATTTTTTTCAAGGGTTGAAGTATTGTCCAAAGCTCACAGAGGACCAAAAGCAAGATATAAACTGGGAATAAACAGGGATTTTGAAAAGAACCAAACAGGGGAAGTGGACATTAAAAGCCTGGCTGAATTTCCCACATTTGTTGGAAGAGAATATTGAACAACCACAGGAACCTAGGCTGAGGAGGAAGAAGATATAGGACCTATAAAACATAGTTAATGTCCATGGAAAAAGAAAGAAATGTGAAGGCAAGTGACTGATGAAGTTTCTTGGGTATTAACAGAGGATGATTCAGCATGGAGAAGAGCAGCCAGGCTGAGCAGTTATTTGCTGCTCTGAGCTGCCCCCAGGAATTTTCCTCTTTGTCACCATGCTGAAAATTATGAAAAAGCTGACCGAGGGAGTGAACTGAAGGGAAGAAACCTTCACAACCAGAACATCACGTGTGCACTCCCAGGGACAGGGCACAGACACAGGTGCAGATGCAGATCTCCTCTTTCCTGTGCTGTGATGTGGAAGCCCACCTCTAGAGACAGGAGGGTGTGGAAGGATCCCAGCTGTGCAGCCCCTCAAACGTGGCCAGCTGGCCAGGGCTCAGTCCTGATGGCTGAGCTGCAGAGCAGGTATGAAGCTGAAGCGCTGTGAAGCCGCACAAGCGCCTGCTATTCCGTAATGCTGGGCCTGCCTGAGGGCATGGAGAGCAAAATGCTTTCCTAACAAATTGCTTCACTGAGGTCTTAAACTGGAGACCGGCAAGGATCCAATATACGTAGAGAAAACATGCCAAATACAAGCTGAATTATAAGAAACAAGGGGCTGGATCTCCTCTAATCTGCAGTATATTAGATCTGAGGGGGCCACGCAGCACTGATGTGGTAGAAGTCTCTTGACTTCTCCACAAGGACTAGTCTGATCCATGCATCATTCCTGGAGGAGAAAAAGCTGCACTCCCTCTTGCTGCTGCAAAACAGATGAATCCAGGATTTCCTGGTCAGGAAGGACCAGGCATTCTCCAAGACAAGCAGAAATCTGTGGGCATGCCTAAAAGCCAAATCAGTGGTGAGCTTTCCCCAGTCGTCTCCTGGGTTCTTTAAGTTTGTTGTTCTGTATGAAAATACACTGCAATTAACTGGACTGACTGCCCAAACATCTACTGGCTGTTGGAGTGCTTGCAGACTTTCCCAAATAAAAGCCACGATCTGCTTCTGAATCGTTCAGTGATTTGCACTGTATTTACGAACTCAGATGAATGCCTCTAGTCTATCCTTTCCATTAAGTCACTCTTGGCTTTTATACATAGCTGAGTCTTGCAACAGACCTTACTCTTAATCAGCATTGACTGGAGCTGCTCAGGATATTTTAGCTGAAGTGAATTTTCCCTCAAAAGATGTCATTTTGAGTCCTTTTCTTTTTTTCACTATCAGTAGTGATGGTGACTTTTCTCACCAATATTTCTAACACTTCTATTTCCACAGGAAAAGAAAAAAAAATCAGTAATCTTTCCTGTCTGAGTTATTTGCTGACATTCCTGTGTCATTCAATCTTCTAACTGGCATGTCATAACCTATTGTAGAAGTGTTGCGGCAGTTGATACGTTCTGGGATGAAAATGAAGGATGTGTGTGGGGAGATGAAGCAAATGGGAAAGTGGACACAAGCACACAGTCCCTTCACCAAGTGAGATGATACATGACATAATGGACAGCATAGAATGTGATAGTTATGTTATAATACCTGCTATAATAGCCGTGGGAAAAATATATTTTTATTTTTAAATTTTATTTTATTCTTAAACAAATAAGGGCAGCTGTTACTCCGCAATGATTGAAACTTCCTGTCTTCTCTGGTTTATGTCTTCTACCAGTGTTAGTATATTTTAGCATTTGGAACAAAAAGCGCTCATAAACTGTGTGAGCAGCTATTGTTTAAAATATTTTAAAATGATTCCCAGTGAAGACTAGAATGGCTGTGTCTCAAGAAATGATGTAAAAATAATAAAAGTAACATAAGAATAAATATATAGGAGAACATTCAATTTTTTCCTTAAAAGGGGATTTTTCTTTTTTTCTTTTTCCTGAATGCATAGCTCACTGAAAAAAGCAGTAAGTCTTTTTTTTTTTTTTTTTTTTTTTCCCCACTCTAGTCTAAGTGAAAAAAGATTTTCAAAGATTTTCAAATTTGGAAATGATGAGAAAACTAATAACTGTACCTATCTATAGAAGTGCCATGGAAATGCAATGTTTTGTTGGCACTTGATGACTGCTGTCCTGTGTATAGATTCAAAGGAGTGTTGTGGCTCCCAGGCTGAAGTAGACCAAGGCTGCTGTTCTTGAGTTTTTCTTTCACCAGTAATAGCCAGCACCTAGTTTTCCTTCAGTCATTAAGGCTCATCTTTGACCTTCTTTCTTTAGGACTGAGGGTTCCTTTCAAAATGTATGTTGTCAATACCCACTGCTAGTTTAGGTACTACTGTTATCTCCATAAATGTCTGCTCTCTTTCTCCGTTCTCTCCCTCAGTGATATTGTCTAGAAATAAATTCCACTATGCAAAAATAAAATTCAAAGGGAAAGCATGTCCTTTTACTGGCTTTGAATTTGTTTTTACTGAATTGCCTCTTTTTTTTTTTTTTTAAATAATGTGACCAAAGGGATACACATTTCCCAGTCTCCCTTCCCTGATACTTTCATTGGTCATACAGTTTTATCATCTATTTTCTATTTCTCCTCTTCCTAGGGGGGGGGGGGGGGGAAAAGTTGAACAGTCTCTTCTCACAGACTTCACTTCTAGTTCCTTCATTATTTTCATTAGAATTATCCAAAGTCTGGGCATGGAAGATGTTTTTTTGAGACAAGTAAGCAGGAATGCTCACTAGAACTGGCTGGAAATTTGCATTGTTTTCAGCAGAACGATGAAAATGATTCAGGCTACAACAACTTATGGTGAAAGACACATTCCATTTTTTTTAATCTAGAACAAATGAAAAAAAAGAATCAATAGAGCTATATTTTATCATTTAAAAAATGAATGTGTCCAGTTTTATGGGTTCAAAATGATGCTTATTTCATATAGTGAATACATTATATTTATGCCTGCAATCAAAAAAAAAAAAAAAAAACATTTCCAGATGACCAAAGAGTAGTTCTTAGGGAACCTATGGGAAGACCTTTGTAAACAATTCTTTCAGGATAAAAGTTATGCATTCAAATTATTTGCCTATTTGAGTATGGAAAAAATGCTCAGTATGAACACTTATGTCTCTCCCCTCTGCCCACACTACAGTATCCAGGAAAGGTAGTACTGTCGATTTTATATAACAACATATTATAGACCTTATTTTCTATTCCATCCCTTGTACAGACTCGTGTATTGCTTGCCTTTTGATCTTAGCTACATATTCCTGCCTTTCCATCTATTGTAATTCTGAAGGGTGTGTCAGCTTAGCAAGAAAAAGTGATCACGCTTCCAGCACCCCAGAGAATTACTCCTCTGCTGAAGCATGCTTAGGATGTTGGGTCAGTCTGACTGTTGGCTGCATGCTTCTGCATGTGCAAGTCTCAAGGAAATTTCATTCTGAGATGCCACAAGTGTTTGTCACTGGTCTTTACTGTTTGAAGTGAGTCACAGGCCAAGGGCTTGCAGGTGGTGAAGACAGCTGTGTGCTACTTTGGTCCCTCAGTCTTGGAGGCTGCACCTCCTGCCCTGCTGTTTGCCAGTGAGGGGCAATGTCTCCCAGCCCAAGCACCTCCCTGAGGAACTGTGGTGAAAGAAGATGGCAGCGAAAGGCTCTAAGCGGACCCTAATCTCAGGTCTGTGGCATGGATCTGAGGTTTCTCTTCAGCCTGTGAGGACCAGCTGGAGGAAAGCTGTCCTGGCAGCACCTGGGCAGTAAGCACAAGGCTCTTTTAAACCCAGGAAAATGTTGCTTTGCCAGTTTTCATCTAGTTAATTGACTCTGCCATTTCACATCTCAGCAAGATAAACAAATACATTGATATTGAAACAGCCAACCTTGCAGTAATTAAATGTTATTAACTTGTTAAGAAATACTGAGAGATCTTGGTGTGATGGATATTTCAGATAAAGCAGCTAGTGTTTTGGCAAATGCATCTTGGAAACCAAGGCCATAAAGTTGTGAAGTGCCCAGCACTGAGATTGCCTGCTAGTTTTGGACAGAGGTAATTTTGTCCAGAGCACCACAGCATCTGACCCAAATGGGGTACTTGAGGAGTTCAGAAAACCCTTGCCAAGCTGTTCTGCTTGAGCTGTCAGATCAGTGGGGATCTCCAGGTGTTATTAATGCTGAAAGCTTTTTGCTTGGACTAGCATGGAGAGATAGGGATGTCTCCTGGGAAGTTAAAAGGCCGCTTTGCACATAATAAAAGATTCTTTAATACCATCACATGGAGATTCATCTTGTTTCTAATCTATCAAAACTAATTTGTGCCTCAGGGGCCTTTGGCCTATTGCCCAAGTTGCCTTGCCCATCTCTCAAAAAAAAAAAAAAGGCAAGGGAAGTTTGGCAGCATCATCATTTCATGAATGAACCAGATTGATGTAAACAATGCTGTAAGTTTAATGGGGTCCATATTTACAAGCATTAGTCCCACTCTGACCCTGTACTCTAGACTCCTGCTGACCTGGGGGTTAGGCTTGTCTGAAGATAACATGAGTTTCTACACCAGTCCCCGGATTTGTTCAAGATTGTGTTGACTTTCGGCCTGTCTGCCTAAAATATACATGGGGAAGGACAGATTGCTTTCTGCACCAAGTGCTGTCTAAAGGAAGTGTCTGCTGAGTTTTTGGTTCTGGGCCAAGTTTCCTGCTGTCTAGCATTAGGGCTTTGGCAAGGCAGTCTGGGCCCTGTCACAAAGAGAATCTATAAAAATGTTTTTTTCTTGTCATCGCACATAATTAAGGACAACATTTTAATCAGGCTGCTCCCACTTAATTGCAGTGCTTTGCGTTAGCTACCCTGGACCTGCTGTTTTAAGTAGAACCGCTGTATTTGTCAGATGGGGTCAGGCTGGGAAGACGAAACCTCATCTGAGATATGGAGAAGTCAATTATTTTATAAGGATGGAATGTGCTCATGTCATGGTTTGTTACAAAATAACCATGGTTAAATGCAGGAGGGATTGATTGCTGTGGTACTGGAAGCAGTCATCTTTAAACTCTGGTAGCTTGCTGTGGTTTAAGAGGCCACATGGAGAGATGAAGATTTCCGGATCAACTCTTGTGACTGGACAGGCAATTTTGATTGATTGATGATTTGATTTTTATTTAAATAATAAACAGAACAATGAAGAGAAGTTGTACATCAAAAACATCCCAGAAGACTCAAGACCTGTTTTTACTTAAGAAATAGACCAAAAAAGAACTCAACCAGGAAGCCACGAATGGTCATCTTTGGATGAATCACAGCTCTGAGTTCTCTAAAACCTTTTTGCCAGGTTGCTTTTTTGTTTTGTTTTTGTGTTTGGTTGTTGTTGTTTGTTTTGTTTTAATTTTTGCTTGTTTGTTTTCATCAAGCTTTGGAAACCACTATTTTTAGACCCTGTTAGATCAAGACATAGGAGGGAAGAACATTTTCCAGCTTCATGAAGGCCTTTAAAACCTGTTTGGTTTATAGCCGGAAAAATCCCACAGAAGAACTCGTACTATTTGACTCATGAAAGTCAAACTACATTGCTAGGCTGCAACGATATCCACAACTTTAAGTGGTGCAGAGAAGCTAGTGGGCAGACCTGATACCTGAGGTCCCTCTGCAATGATCCACTCACTCTGTGATGCATTTTGCTCCAGCTTCAGCTTGTAAAGTGAATGGCGAAGCAGGAATATACAGGACATCTGTAAGAAGTGTACTGGCCTCCTGCATTTTGGAAGCTCCCAGGAAGGAGCCATAGAAGCATATGGATGCAGGTTGGCCTCGCACATCTGTTTGGCCAGGATGGGGCACTGGGCCTCTGCAAGTGCCTCTGCAAGCCAGCTGAATCAGTTGCTCTGCTCTGTAGCTTGTTTCATGTAAAGCTGATCACTCAAAGCTCGTGCTTCAAAGGATGCAGTCCTCTGTCAGAGATGTTGGCGCTAGTGATTGCTGAATGATAGCTGAGATGTTTGCCAAGCTCTTTTAATAACACCAGTCAGTTGTTTATGATATGTTTAAGCTAACTCAGGCTTCCCATCAGGAAACACAGAGAACTGCTGGCACCCAGACATAAGGTGGACTAAGGCCAAAGTTGCCTTCTTTGTTCAAGTGTATTGACATTTTGCAGTCTATTAACAGCATTTGATGGCTGTTACTGCTCTTACTTTTGGCTGACAGAAGCAGATACAGGGAATTGTACCACTCCAAGCCGCAGGGAGGGCATGAACTGCAGATTGCAATGAGCACCTTAGGAATGTACTTGGAGCCACATTTCCCATTTTACCCACTGCAGAGCCAGTGAGTCTGATTCAGCTGGGTTGAGGGAGATCCTGAAGGTGCAGCACAGACAGGCTAAGAATCTGGTACACCAGCTTTATGTCCTATCGCTAATCAACTAGTTTTTCTTCTCCCTGACATTGGTAAAATCATGTCTGGCTGCTGCTCACAGCAGGGATTTCTGGGTGCCCAGAACTGGAGAGAAACATTGGTGCTGCAAAGCAGTCAGGAGGGAGAATAGGTAAGCATGTGTTATACATATCCTGCACATATGTTGTATTCCTTTGTCCTTCCACCATGCAATCATCCAACCTGACACAGAGGGGAACGCTGTCCGGGGCAGGTGCAGGACCAGACACCAGGGCCTGCAATCCACTTGTCTTCACACCCACCTTTTCTTAGGTGAAACTTGTGGGCCAAACCCAATACACAGGTAGGTCAATTTTTAAAAAATGGCATTAATAAACATGTGACAAGAGATATGTCCTCTCATCTAGAGCTGTTGTCTTTGAATGTGCACTACTGCCCCTCTTCTCATGGCATCCCACGATGGGCTGTGCTGCGGCACATGGAGTGTGGAAGACTGGCTCTGGCTGTGATCTTCCCATGGTCGCTACTCAAGCCTCAGCATTTTTTTTAAGGAGGTGGGGAAGTGATGCTAAGTTGGCCTGCATGTTTTCCAGCTTATCTGACAGTCCCCAGGTTACAGACCTGTTTTCCTAGGTTTTCAGGAAGGCCGATCATGTGAGCCTGCTCAGGAGAGGCAGAGCACATCTGATGTGATTGGGAGCAACAAGTGTTTCAGAAATGCACTACCCTGGGGTTCCTAGTGGTCAGTGCATGTTATTAAAACTCAGGCCTGCTGGTAGTGTTTGTTTCTTGTCAATGATTTTGGCCATCGCCCACTGGAAGACTCTTTCCAAGCTCTTAAGCCAACCACATATACTCACTGGAGAGGGATAAATAATCGTATTAGACACAAACAGGAGACAGGAGAGTCATCAGTGGAAATCCCCTTTTGGCAACTGTTCCACCTGTGGACAAATGCTGAAAATGAACTGTGCACAGGGAATATCACTACTGCCAGCAATGGGCTCCACTGGACACAGTGTACTGGACTGTATTTCAAGGGTGTCTGTAAACACCACCCT